ATTTATAATTAAATGAAACAAAACAAACCAGTTTAAAAGGGAAAAGATGATAATACTTGTTGGCTTTGAGTAACTGTGGGCCCCAGAGCAATTCAGTTGAATAGTCCTGTATTAATGTCTCAAAATAAGCAACTTTAAAGTCAGCATTGACCATAAACTACATCTACCATAATGCATGTTGATTATTTTAACCACAAAAATACGGCATCCCACCATGGGTATCCCATAGTGGGTGAACATAGCTGGTGTGTAAAATCTCCATTTAGCTGTATTTTCTTCAGCTAATTTTGATACGGTCCAGTTGTACTGGGGTGGGAATTTACGACTTTCAATTCRTACATTTAAACTGGAACAGCCCTTCAGTGGGAATTCCCTGTTGGAAAGTTAGAGAGTTCAGAATTCAAGATGGAAGCTCACCAGTGAGTAAAACGCTCTTATTTTTACTTTAAATAGTATTTCTGTATTATTTACTTCACATTTCGTCAGTCGTACAYGAAGTACTTTTCAGTGAYAATAAGATGGCATGTTAAAACACTGTTGCTATGCAGGAAATACCACGTAGAGCTCAGGTATTTATTAGCGTTGCTCAACTGTAGCAATAAGATGAGGAATGTGACGTTTCTCTTTTAGTCAGTTAAACACAAAACTTTGTTAACCATAACTGGCCCTTTATAAGGTGAAAATGGTTCAGTTCCCTGTATCTGATAAAGAATTGAGTGAAAAAAATCTAACATTCAATAACTAAAAACTTACATACACATTTTAAAGAAGATTAACATCAATTTTGTTGCTTTTTAGATGACTTTCGTTATGAATATATTCGTCATGCTTTACAGACTGAGAGGATGCTGTTAATGATTCGTCTCAGAGAGCACATTTCTGGGAGGTTAAGAGGAAACTAGAGGCAGAAAAATGAAGAACATTGTGGGGGAGGAGATGAAAGAAAAAGCTRAGGAGAAAACATGATAAGAAATGGTTTACGCGAGAGGCTGAATGCAAAATACTGGAGAGAAAAAAGAAACATGAAAACATCCAATTATAAAATATAAATGAGATCAGTTTTCTTCCATTATTTTTAATTTGTTACATTATTCCCCATTCTGCTACGCTTCTTGTTTAACTCCGTTTTTCCATTTTTCTTTGTCTCCCTCGGATCCTCGTGCTTTGAATTATTGATCAGAGCGTTTTYAGTCTGGGGCAGAAACACTAAAACAACTGCTTCACCCAAAAAATCCTCAAAGACTCACTGAGACATGAGGAAGAGCATTTAAATCGTGCTTGAAGCCGTTGTATATGAGGACGACGTCATCCTTTTCCAGCAAGCTAACTGGAGTACCAAACTTTTTTCTTTCTGCTTGTTAAAAAATAAACCATCTATGATTGTTTTTGCTGGTTTCAGCCTCTCTTTCTTTACCTCTCTTGTCAAACACTATCAGCAGACTTACCAGGCATTTACTGGTGCCAGGTATCAAATGTAGTTAATGGGTTACATGAAATCACAGAGACATGGATGTTTTTTAGTTGCTGAAGCTGATAAGTGTGGCCATGTCTCTCATGTAGCCTCTGTCATTTCAGTCTCTGTGCTTCAGTGGTCTGAAGGCCTGGCACATAAAGACAAGCCTCTGTATGGTGCCTGTGCRCAGTAAGTCCTTTCACATGAAGCTGTGCTGCAGCCACTGTGGGACCAGAATACCTAACTTAGACAGTGATTGTTTGGCGGGAGCCTAAACCTAAAGATAAACCTAAACTTTATTAAAACAGAAAAACAACATGTTCTTTGTCCTTTTCTGTTTTCATCTCATTATTTTTTTCAGGAGCCTTGAAATGAATCTGGGGCTAGCCCAAGGATTTTTCCCACCAATAAAAAAAAAAATGATTCAAACAAGAAGAAAATTGGTAAAAAGTTGCACAATACTGGGACAAGCTCAACWTTTACTGACCATAAAGCATTATTGATTCTTTATTTAACACTTTCATTTAAAACTGCACAATTTATATTTAAAGCAAATTTCTAAGAAGTTCCAGGAAATCTTCAAAACAAGTTTTGTAACTGGGTGGGGGGTGTATATACATAAGTACACATTTTTTTTGTTGTTTTATGTCTGTTTTGATTCTATTCTATTCTATTCTATTCTATTCTATTCTATTCTATTCTAWCACTTTTGTCCCAGTGACTATTTCAAAGTGATGCACAGTCTTTATTTTTCCTTCTAGCTCTCTCTGACACTTACGTCTTTTCTCAGTGATGTGCAGCAAACTAGCGGTGTGCCCGGACAAAGTGCCCTCCTCCTCTTCTGATGGGAGCTGGAACAGCTCCTTGGACAGACCACCTGAGCTGGAYGGCTTCAGCAGCTTCTGGATGTCTTTATTGGGCTCTTTAATCACATAAACCCAGAAATGGAGAGAAAAAAAAGACAGAATAAAAGAGAACGTTATTGATCTCAGGATTAAAGACTTTTCATAAAGGATTAGAATTGATGCTACACTGTATTGCTTTATAAGCTCAAGCTCTAATTAAATACAAGGCATCACAATCATTCAGACACAGAGGTAATGATGGGAAATGAAGTTCAGGGATTTTTAGTAGTGATGGAACAACTTCTGCTCGTGTCGTTTTAAGTCATTGGTCTAAAGACCCTGGCCTCTTATTAACCCCCCAGTTTTTAAAGCACAGTATCATGCTGCAGACAAGGTCTTTGTTTARAGTCCAATAAAAGGTTAGGCAAATTAGTCTGCAGACTTGAGAGAAAATATGTAAAGTATTTATAATATTCATAATTGTATTTGTTTGAGAAGCAGGACACAGAAACAACAGCTATATAGTTTCAATGGAAAAATAAGACAAAAAAAGTGCAAAATTTTGGTTTTAACTTTTATAAGTTCAAGTTTATTTATATAGCGCTTTAAACTTTATATACTTTTTAAATAATTTGAAAACAACACTTTTTTTTCTCTCTGACGCACTTTTTAATTCTTACAAAATGATAGCTCTTTTTAATAAAAAAAAAATCCTCCTGAGTGTCTGCAGCTCATGGGGTGATTGAACTGCTTGACACGTTAGCAAACTCCTAAATCGCACCAGAAGGTTCCAGGAGTAGATAAAGAACTCTGATAACTGAGACACCCGAAAAAGTGAAAAATCTTTAAACAGCCAGACAYTTCAATCTCAAAGCTTTAAGTAGCAAGCCTCTCAAAAGAAACTATATCCTGACAGCAGGCACTTTCAGGGTAAACTATTGCCTCAGTAATAGACCCTGCATGGAAAGATCAGGGACTTTATGTCTTTAAAGCTTTCTAGGCATTGTGGGAAATTCCWGCAGCCTTGCATGTTCGCGGAATACATAGATGGCTCAGATGGTCGGTGTTTCAGTAAGAGTAGTGATTTGTTTTTACACCAATATAGAAGGTGGCAATATTTGTGCACAGAACAATAAAATGCTGAATAACATTCAAGAAGCTAATATATCAAAGCAGAGTGTGATTACAGATATTCAATGAGTTCATAGATCTTTTTAATAGGGACAAAGGTTGTTTTTATGAGTTGGGAATGATGAGAAAGAAAAGATACAGATCTGTCTTTATGTGACTCATCTCTTCCAAAATGATAAAATCCCAATCAATAATAAAGGGTTGCTTCAAGGCTTTTTTTGTGAAAATCATAGAAATCACATGTCTTTGTATATCAGAGATCAATCCACAACACTAAATGGAGATTTTAGATTAGAACRTCAGACAAAAAACAGACACCATCACTGTCAAGAAATCAAACGAGTCAGTGTGTTTCGGAATAAGAAGAGAACACAGCTGAATCACACTAAAAATGTTTAACTGGGATAAGGTTTAATAATTCATTAAAAGCCTGGCTATTCTTGAAGAAATGCATGTCACYGGTTAGGGGTAGGGGTCATCTTATACTGAGAAAGCAATGGAGCTATAAACATTTTGGTCAAACCTTGYAAAAATATTGTTATTCATAATCTGACGCCTAATTGCGAGATCTTGCATGAAGTTGAGGGTGACTCTCAGCTACTATCACACTAATATTCACACAYTATCTGTAAGACTAGTAATTTTTGTGTTGACTAATGKTATATAGCTGYGACAGCCMTCTTGAATTGGCTTRACTAAAATATTGGTAAATTTTCAGCAGTTCGTGAAACATATTAAAGTTTAATAAACATGTTAAAATAAATACATGAAAGTACAACAATCAGGGTTGACATGCACAATGTGTGTGGGTGTCTACACCAGTGTTTTTCAATCCTGGTCCTCAGGGCACACTGTCCTGCAAGTTTTAGATGTTTCCCTGCTTCAACACAGCTGATTTCATTTGATAACTGATTAACAGGCTTTTGTTGAGCTGCAGTTACCTGAATCAGGTGTGTTAAAGGGAATAGATCAGTGGTTCCCAAACTTTTTATCTTCTGACCCACAAAATATTCATGGCTAAAACTTCTGACCCCACATATTACTGGTCGTAGTACACGAACTTTGTTAATAACCCTAAAAAAACACAGGCTTTTTGACAATGGAAACAGCTTGTACACAAATATACAGTGGTTTGCAAAAGTATTCATACCCCTTGAACTTTTCCATATTTTGTCACATTACAACCACAAACATAAATATATT